AGAGCTGGGACAATGGTGTGTCAAAGTGGAAAGTCCCTCCAAATTAACAGCGTGCAGGTCACAGTAGTAGAGACCACGCCCTTCTTGTATGCATTCATATCTCCTCCTCATCTCTCCCCAGAACCCAAGCGCATCCATGTTCATTCACATCTAAGAAAGCTTGACTTTGCTGTGGACTTTTTTTTATTCTGCCATCAAATGGTTACTTTCCTTTATGTTAAACTGCTGTTGCACTGACGGTAGAGCTTCTCTACAGGATACAAAATGCATCATTATTGAGTATTCCCGATTAGATTGTTAAAGTCTATGGGGATTCATGTTTTATTCACATTTCCAAATCTTCTTCTAATGCTTTCAATGTGCAGGATGCTGCAGAGTAGGCTTTGATTCTTCCATTATATGATGCTCAGAAAATCACCGTCGAAGACTTGACTTGTTTAAAGAAAACTTGGAGCCCTCATTACCAGGTGCAAGGTGGTAAAGATTATGACACAGGTAAAGTACAGAAGAGCACAATGATTGGTTCTCTGATATGAAATGTCGGCCCTGAAAGCATCTGTACAAGAACATTAGCAGGCAACTGAGCAGGTTTTCTATAATAGGAATGCATAGGCGTATACCTATGGCTTGCAACAGCAATTCGTGAAAAAAAGAGGCCATGAATTTGAAAGAGAGCAAGCAGGTGGATTTGGGGAGGGAGGGAGGAAGGAAGAAATGTTTTAATTATATTCTAATCTCAAGAATATAAATTTTTAAAAATGCTTCTACTAAAGAAACATAGTTCCTTTTTTCTCTGGAAACAGATCATTTTTTCTCAAGAATATAAATTTTTAAAAATGCTTCTACTAAAGAAACATAGTTCCTTTTTTCTCTGGAAACAGAGATAAATTTTTTTTAACATCTGAATCTATTTTCCTTTTTTTCTTTCTTTTTCATTTATTTATTTATTTATTTATTTATTTATTTTTTGAGACAGAGTCTCCCATAGTGCAGGGTGAGTAAGAATGTCTCTGAACTCCTGATTTTCTTGTGTCCGTGTCCCCAGGGCTGGTGTGTGCTCCTAGACCTGCCTCCTGCCTTCACCTCTGCATTCTCACTAGTAACACAGGATCTGCACACTGTGTATTTCTAAAAATATAAATAAATAAGCAAATTAGACCATCTCACTTAGGAGTGAGTGGTAGCAAAGACAATAAGAGACGTCAAGAGTTCTTTATAAATCCAAGAGAAGAAAACATTTCTATGGGGGCAGAGGTGCTCAGAGAAAAAATAGGTCAATCACGGGCATCTGACGCTGTGATATAAGACATCTGTCCTATTGGATAACCATGAAAGAGAGCTCCACAAAGGGAGAAGCGGCGGCAGCGGTCCTGCAGGATCTGTGAGCTGCTGCTGAACTATGATGGGAACGGAAAGGGTTTGCCAAGTCTGGATGAAAGAAAAGCTGAGTGTATAGACAAGCGGTTAGCAGCTGAGATGGGCACAGATGTATACAGAGTGTGGGTTTTTATCCTGGACCAAAGGCTGTACACCTGGAACCGGGAAGCCTGTGTTATTTATTTACGTTTGTCAGACCATCTTTTGAATAATTTTAAAAGAACCGCAAATGTTTAAAAACATGGGGCAGGCTCCAGGCTCAGCTGTAGATGGCCAACACAAAACAAACTTAATAATAGTTTTGGAGGTGTTTTTTGCTTTGGTTTGGTTTTTTGCCTCTCAATGTCTTGTCTTGGGGCATTAAAAAAACTTATAGCTCTTTTGCTTATATATCATGGTTTCTGATTTTTTTATGGATTTTCCGTATGAGTCAATGTATGTGTCTCTTTGTATTTCTTATGCTTTTTCTTTGACTTTTTTCTGTTTGTTTTCCTTATTCTTATGTGTTTTTGTTTTAATTTTATATGCTTATTTATTTTCTAATGAGGGAGAGAAATAAAAGGTGTGGATTTGGGTGGGTGGGTGGGGAGGTGGGGAGGATTTGTGAAGAGTTGGAGAAAAAGAATATATTGTCTGAAAAAAAAGATCTATATTCAACAAAAACAAATAAAAAAATCCATGATATTTCAAGATTGAAAAATCAAGTATTTTTTAATGTATCTTGAAAATCGAGAAAGAAGGTTAACATTGATCTTGCCCTCATTAAGGTATCCATACTTGGTGCTACGGAGATGATGACCCTTTTGTTTAAATAAATATGACTCAGATTGTTCTGTTTTTTTCTTTGGGATTTCTTCATCTACTCATTGTTAATTCTCAGATACTCCTGAGTATTTATCATATTTCAAACACTAAGGGTATAGATACTTATTGTTTTAAGATTTCAAAGATTAACAAGTAAAGTGAGTATAAATATAGTTTCACAGTGGGCAGTGGTGGCACACACCTTTAATCCCAGGACTCGAGAGGCAGAGGCAGGCGGATCTCTGTGAGTTTGAGGCCAGCCTGGTCTACAAGAGTTAGTTCCAGGACAGCGAGGACTGTGACACAGAGAAACCCTGTCTAGAACACCCCCCCAAAAAATCCTTTTCTTATCCTTTCATGATAAAAAGTCTTGGAGAGAGCATGGGTACCAAGAACATACCTAAACATAATAAAGGCAATATACAACAAGCCAACATCAAACTAAATGGAGAGAAACGCAAAGCGATCCCACTGAAATCAGGAACAAGACAGGGCTGCCTACTCTCTCCATATCTATTTAATATAGTTTTTGAGGTTCTAGCTAGAGCAATAAAACAACAAAAAGAGATTAAGGGTGATGTGGGAGTGATTTCTTATTAATAAAGAAACTGCCTTGGCCCATTTTATTGGGTAGAAAATTAGGTAGGCGGAGTATACAGAAGAGAATTCTGGGAGAAAGAAGGTTAGAGGAAGAGTCGCCATGATGCTCCCACGCCAGACAGATGCAGGTTAAGATCCTCCCTGGTAAGCCAGCTCGTGGGCTACACAGAATATTAAAAATGGGTTAGAACAATATGTAAGAGCTAGCCAATAAGAAGCTGGAACTAGCCGGGCCAGGCAGTGTTTGAAAGAATACAGTTTCCGTGTAATTATTTCTGGGTATAAGCTAGCCATGCGGGCGGCCGGGTGCCGGGGACGCAGCCCTGCCGCTCCTATTTCAACAGATGGCGCCCAACGTGGGGCTAAATCCACTTAAAAACCTGAGAAGCCTTAAAAATAAGGGAAACAGAGTTTAACACAGATTTTTGCTGTTTTGTTGGTGACATGCTGTAGAGAGATTCCTGATTCAGCAACAGCAGCAGAGAAAAAAAGCTGCGTCATTTTAAAGCGCGGCTTCCTGGTGCTATGCTGCCAGCGTGAACTCTGGCTTTAAAGCATTTCAAGGCTTTTATGGGACTGGATGTTTCTGTTCCCACTTGGGATCGGAGGAGATTGCTCTGAGACCTGCCGATGGCTCAGCGTTCCCTGCCTACACCTGGGCAGATGGCGGAATCAGGCTTAGGCAGGCGGAAGAGCATGGCGGATTCCTGCTGCCATACAGAGACGCGTTTTCAGACTGCGCAGTGCTCTGCGTGTCAGATTTGGCTGTAACTTGGATAAAAAGAGTTTCTGTGCTGCACACTCAGTCTCAAAATTAAATTGCTGATTGCGGCTCCAATGTAAACTGCTGTTTGCCTGTAACTGTGCTCAGCTCAAAAGCACCAAATGACTCTGAGGCAGGAGCGGCTGCTCCTTGCTGAACTGTGCTGATCTCAGGCAGGAACTACCGTAATTACCTTAAAACCGTGCAGTTAAGGTTTAGACTGGGCAGGACACAGGCAGTACCGTATTACCTATACATGGTGCAACTTAAGTTTTTAAGAAATGCTTAACATTTTAAGAAATGCTCCTGGAAAAAAAAAAAAAAATTACAGATTCACAGTAAAACAGATTCAGACACCGTTGGATGAATGTACGTAGGCTTGGGGAAAAAAAGAGAATATAAAGAATAAAGTTAATGTCTTAAAAAGAAAAAGGGTAAAGTCTTTAAAGAGACAGAGTACAGAAGTACAGATAGTTATAGATTAAGAGAAATAAAGAAAAATAAGCCACGTAAAAATGAAAAATTCACAGAGAGTCTGGATTATGTACATTGTGTTTTCTTTAAAATTTTTGACTGTGAAGGAGCTAAGTACAAAGAGACATTTTATTATATGGGCTGCTAAGCTGAACCTGCACATATGTTCTAAAGGTATCTTGACTTCAAAATTTGGATCTAAGGATATGATGCTTTGGAGAGGGTCTTCTTTTGTTTCCACAGAGGATGTGACCCTATGGATTGCATCTATCCCGGTATGGTATGATAGACCACGCCCTCCTGAAAGGTTGCTGTGAACACCCTCAAAAAATTACTTCACTCAACTGCCAACCGAGATGAACCTGACACACAGGTTACACCCTAAATGATCTGATTAACAGTGCCCCCATTCAGCAGGAAGCAGTTTGGAGAGAAAAAACTACGCCCATGTTCCCAAATATTGTTTATAAATGTTCTTTTACATTTAAAGGGGGATATGATATAGATATGAATAATTTGCATTGGTATGGATTTTAAGGTCAATTTTGTTATATGTATATGTATTTTTGATCTTGATTAAGGTATTGTGATTGTGTAGTTCACTTAAAATGTAATGTATAATTAGGAAATATAGGTTGTTAATGGATAATCATTGCTAATAGTTAAGCTTGTAGTCATGTTAATTAGATTTTCTAGATATATAGAGATATATTTCAATTAGATAGGCATTCTTCATATCTTTCAAAGACTGCAGAATATGGCATTTAAAATATTTTAATAACTTAGGACTTTTCATGACAAGGAGACACGTCTGCTCCTGGCAGCACCAGCTACTTCAAGAGGAAGATGGGCATCGAAGAGGATCCTTATGGAGTTTGATAGTCATTTGGGCAAGAAACTGCTCTTGCCTGGACTGTTGCATAAACTGGACACAGAGAACCCGCAGAGAGAGGACTGCTGAACTTGCCTAAAGGTGAGATGGTCTTTCGGGGTTCCTGATTCATGAAAGAGTCTGCGAGACATTCTGCAGGACACAGCAGAAAATGACTGAACTGTCTTTGAAATTTCCTGCTTCATGGAAATGTCTCTGGATACCATGGGCCTGTAGGCCGAAGATGGATGCCCCAACGGTACAGAGGAACTTTGGGTGACTGTCCAGGCAGCGAGATGTCTCTGTCATTTCTAGAGTTTTCTTATTTCTTGTTTACTTAGGTAATATTATATCCTTCTGGAGTCTTTGATGGAGTTGAAGAATGAATAGTTATAGTTTTCCTTAGTTATGATAAGAGATAAAATAGATATAAATATTGTAACTGTAATTCTTACTTGATAACTGTTTTGTTATATGTAATTTTACTATGCTAAAGTTAAAGCCTTTCTTTTTTGTTTAAACGGAAAAAGGGGAAATGATGTGGGAATGATTTCTTACTAATAAAGAAACTGCCTTGGCCCATTTTATTGGATAGAAAATTAGGTAGGCGGAGTATACAGAAGAGAATTCTGGGAGAAAGAAGGTTAGAGGAAGAGTCGCCATGATGCTCCCACGCCAGACAGATGCAGGTTAAGATCCTCCCTGGTAAGCCAGCTCGTGGGCTACACAGAATATTAAAAATGGGTTAGAACAATATGTAAGAGCTAGCCAATAAGAAGCTGGAACTAGCCGGGCCAGGCAGTGTTTGAAAGAATACAGTTTCCGTGTAATTATTTCGGGGCATAAGCTAGCCATGCGGGCGGCCGGGTGCCGGGGACGCAGCCCTGCCGCTCCTATTTCAACATAAGGGGATACAAATCAGAAAAGAAATCAAAATCTCACGGTTTGCTGATGATATGGTAGCTTACATAAGTGACCCCAAAAATTCTACCAAGAAGCTCATACAACTCATAAACACCTTCAGTAATGTATCAGGATACAAGATGAACTCGAAAAAAATCAGTAGCCTTCCTTTACACAGATGATAAATTGGCCGAGAAAGAAATCAGAAAAACATCAACCTTCACAATAGCCACAAATAACATAAAGTATCTTGGAGTAACTCTAACGAAACAAGTAGAACACTTGTATGATAAGATCTTTAAATGTTTGAAGAAAGAAATTGAAGAAGACACCAGAAAATGGAAAGATATCCCATGCTCTTGGGTAGGTAGAAGTAACATAGTAAAAATGGCAATATTACCAAAAGCAATCTACCGATTCAATGGAATGCCCATAAAAAAAAGCTCAGAAAAATTCTTCACAGACCTTGAAAGAACAATACTCAACTTCTTATGGAAAAACAAAAAACCCAAGATAGCCAAAACAATCCTGTACAATAAAGGAACTTCTGAAGACATCACAATCCCTGACTTCAAACTCTTTTACAGAGCTATGTACTGAAAACAGCCTGGTATTGGCATAAAAACAGACAGGAGAACCAATGGAACCAAACTGAAGACCCAGATTGATATCCACACACCTACAAACACCTGATTTTTGACAAAGAAGCAAAAAATATAAAATGGAAAAAAGGGCATATTCAACAAATGGTGCTGGCTTAACTGGATATCAACACGCAGAAGAATGCAAATAAATCCATATCTATTACCATGCACAAAACTCAAGTCCAAATGGATCAAAGACCTCAACATAAAACCAACCACACTGAACCTCATAGTAGAGAAAGTGGGACGTACACTTGAACGCACTGGCACAGGGAACCACTTCCTAAATAGAACCCCAGTAGCACAGACACTGCAAGAAATAAATAAATGGGACCTCCTGAAACTGAAAAGCTTCTGTAAAGCAAAGGACACAGTCAACAAGACAAAACGACAGCCTACAGAGTGGGAAAAGATCTTCAAAATATACAAAGAACTTAAGAAACTCTTCATCAAAAGAACAAATAATCCAATAAAAAATGTGCTACAGACCTAAGCAGAGAACTCTCAACAGAGGAATCTAAAATGGCTGAAAGACACTTAAGGAAGTGTTCAACATCCTTAGGCATCAGAGAAATGCAAATCAAAACAACTCTGAGATTTCATCTTTCACCTGTAAGAATGGACAAGATTAAAAACACTGATGACAACTTATGCTGGAGAGGATTTGGGATAAAGAGAACACTCCTTCATTGCTGGTGGGAGTACAAACTTGTACAGCCCCTTTGGATATCAGTATGGTGATTTCTCAGAAAATTAGAGAAACAATCTACCACAAGACCCAGAAATAACACTTTTGGGTATATATCCAAAGGATGCTCAATCTTACCATAAGGACATGTGCCCAACTATGTTTATAGCAGTATTATTTGTCATAGCCAGAACCTGGAGACAACCTAAATGCCCTTGACCAAAGAACAGATAAGGAAAATGTACATTTACACAATGGAGTACTACACAGCAGAAAAAAATAACGACAGCTTGAATTTTGCAGGAAAATGGATGGAGCTAGAAAACATTAAATTGAGTGAGGTAACACAGACACAGAAAGAGAATTATCACCTGTACTCACTCATTGGTGGTTTTTAAACATAAAGCAAAGAAAACCAGACTACAAACCACCAATGGCTAGCTAACTAAATTTAAGGCCCACTTCATGAGATGGAACCTCTCTGATTGGATTGAAGGTCTACTGCATGAGCTAGAACCCATGCCTGACAAGGCTCATGTGGTCAAGAAACTAAGACTAGATAGGCCAGGGACCTAGAGAAAACCCCAATACTATTGCTATGCCAGAGGAACAAAGCATTAAAATTACTCCTAAGGACATTCCGCTATTCCCATAGATGAGCACCTTGCTCAATCGTCTTCGGAGAAACTTCCTCCTGCAGTACATGGAAACAGATAAGGACCCACAGCTGGGGAAAGAGAAGAGAATAAAAGACCTCAGAACACTCAGTCCTAAATGGGAGGCCTTCAACCAATTTCTCCTCTAAGAGTTCAGAGAGCCCTGCAGAAATGGAGGTGGAAAGATTGTAAGAGCCAGTGGGATTGCAAGACATTAAAGAAGCAAGGCCTTCTAGACTCAGCAAGACTTACACACTATGAACTCTCACAGAGACTGGCAGTACACACAGGGACTGGACAAATCTAAGGCAGAATGGATTTCAGCACTGAGAGGGGAAGTGGCCATAAGCACTTATCCCTAACCCAGAGACTATCTTCAACCAACAACCACTCACAAAGGAAAATTAGTTTTCTGCAGTGAAGTTTCACTGGGTATATAAACCACACTTGAAGGGAGGTCCCATGCCCAGCAACACAGCCAACAATAAACAAATTCAGTAGTATTTTCAGAAGACTTATTTATTGGTGGGGTTTTTCTGTCTTATAATTCATTTCTGGTTTGGGGGTTGTTGCTTTGTTTTGTTATTTGTTTTTTCCTTTATACAGGACTTTTGCTTACATATTATGGTTTCTGGTTAGAGTTTTTTATGGGATTCCTCTGTGTGTGTGTGTGTGTGTGTGTGTGTGTGTGTGTGTGAGAGAGAGAGAGAGAGAGAGAGAGAGAGAGAGAGAGAGAGACTACATGTATCTCTGAGCCTGCGTGCTTTTTTCTTTGGTTCTGTTTTGTTCCTGTTTGCTTTTGTCCTAATCTGATTTGGTTTTTTGTTGTTGTTGTTTTATTCCTACTCTGATTTGTGTTGTTTTATCTTTTTAGATGCCTGTTTATTTTATGAAGGAGGGAAAGAAAAGCTATGGATTTGAGGGTAGGATTTGTGAGGATTTGGGGGGAAGGAAAACCATAATTGATATATATTGTATAAGAAGAATCTATTTTCAATTAATAAAATCTAATATATGTGAATAAAGAATAAATTATTTTATTTTGTCCCAGAATTCATTCACCTGCCATTTAATTGTGGGGATATAATCTAAGAAATGCTTGGCTGGATGACTTCACCATTGCATGAATATCAATGAAGCATTTTCCAACAGATCTAGATGTCATTGGTCAGTTTTTCCTACACAAAGATTTCCTCTAGTATGTAGCCAGACTGGATTGCTGAGTCCTGCTTTCTGTAATCACCACTTTTCAAACGCCTTTTACAAAAGTCCCTGCAATTTTCATTGAAAAAAAAAATGGTATTGCATTGCCCATGGTGGTGGTGGTGGTGGTGGTGTGTGTGTTGGGGTGAGGGGGGTTCTGGTTCAAAGACAATATAAAGTTGCTCTTAACTGTCTGGTTGGAGTTACTCAGTGAGCAGCACGGTGCTCTTTGGAACAAGTTGCAAATCAGAAAAGAACGTTTGCTAATTTGTTTTGGACCATGTTCAAGAGCAAGGAAGTCAGAGAGTCGGGGGTGAGGTGGAAGTGAGTCACAATTTATGCCTGCACACAGTGGCTGGGATCAGAACGCCAAATGCAAAGGTGTTCAGGAAATCCCAACTGACTGTCTACAGGCCCCCAAACTCCTGGAGGGGAAAGGTCCTCTGCTTCTGGGCCTGGCTTTTCTCACTCTTTCCTTTACCTCACTCAGTAGCACGTGAGTGGCTTCAGAGGAAAGTCTTGGACCAGAGTGCTTGGGACAGAGGCATAGAATAAACATAGACTTGAAGCTACTGAAAAATCTAGAGTTGGGACCAGGAGTGTGTCTTCTCCCAAGAGTGTCTTCTAGGACATCCACCGTCACCCAACAGGCTAAGCACATTTCAGGCTCATGATTCATTGATTACTCAGCTGAGAATTTGCCAGCTCCCTAGAATGGGGTTGTAGCCTCAGTCAGTGCTTTCCGATGGCCTTTATAATCATTTGAGACAGCGTGCAAGGCAGGGACGTGTCAGATGTCCAGTGTGTGCATCTCCGGTTGAAGAGGATCAGAGTAACGCTCAGATTTCTTATTTCACCTTCATATTGTGCACACGTATCTTTGGAGTGCCAACAGTGTCATAGTGTACAAATCCTTGTGCTTTCCATGGGTGATTTTGTCTTTTAAACTGTCTCAGCTAGAGTTGAAGTATTTTACAGTGTACCTACATGCAAGAAACCTCTGATGTGGCTGATTATGAAGGTGAGATTGATGAGCTTTCGGGTATGAGTCACCGTGCTGCTGGCTCTGAGTTCAATGTTAATGAATCCACACACTGAAATAAAGGTGTCTTTAAACAAAAACACACATAGAACAATATGGTCAATTAATTGTGGCTAGAGGCTCACAGGCTAACCTCATGTTTTTCCTGAGAGAAAGTTTCAGTGTGTGCTAACATGTTGGTCACAATAACGTTGTAGACTGTAACTCCACCAACAGCAAGAACTGACTGTAATTCACTGATCGTTCAAAAGTATTCATTCCAAAGAGATTTCCTCTAACCTCCAATTTTAAAGTATCCTAACCAGTCCCAAAGTGTACTCCACATCCCCCTTTGGTCCAGGTAAAAATGGCATCTGTCTGGTTCCATTGAACTTATTTAAATTGTTTATTGTTTGATGTCCCTCTCCTCTAGTTCAGTGATGTGGAGGTATCTGTTATTTACTCTGTGCTCTAAGCTCAGCACTTAC